GAGGAACATTCAATTTTAGTTATCTCATTTTGTAATTTTAGATGCTAGATATTTTATATTTTTACACTTCTATGTACATATTTTCTTTCTTTCTTTCTTAATATTGATTTGTGGAAAACCTGCAAAATAGCTTTAGCTAAGTGTTTCTCCCACGTTAAATAAAGATTATGTTATGTTATGTTATAAAAATGTGGTGAACGCTAAAATGTGATAAAATATGTAAAAATGTAAAAAGTGCTAAAAATATTTATAAAGTCAAAAAACAATGGAAATAAAACAATGTTAACAAGAACTACTCTAAACAAATAATTTGGCGCGAATTGAATCGCACTGTTTGTTAAGCGTCGGTTTCAGTTCTTGGATAAAAAACATTTCAAAAATAAGGCAGTCAAATTTGTTCTGACACTTTCTTAAGATTCTAAAACTTTGTGCGATGTCTTCAGGCTCCATATCATGCTGCTCTCTGAGGTAATTTCCGATTGCCGATCCTTTGTGTTCTTCAATTCGTTGGTGTAGGTGTCGGCACGTGTAGCCGACATAGCCTGCATCACACAGGCTACACTGGAAAGAATACACCACGCATTGTTGACTCACAAGAGGCGGCTTGTCTTCCTTGACCTTAATTTCATCTTTGATCTTCCTACTTGTGTAAACTGGGCTGATGTCTGCGTTGATCTTCCTACTCAGGTCAGCCAGCTGTTTACGTACTACGTTTGCTGATTTCTGGTCTTTGAAGGGCAACACGATTCTGATTTAGAATCTTAAGAAAGTGTCAGAACAAATTTGACTGCCTTATTTTTGAAATGTTTTTTATCCAAGAACTGAAACCGACGCTTAACAAACAGTGCGATTCAATTCGCGCCAAATTATTTGTTTAGAGTAGTTCTTGTTAACATTGTTTTATTTCCATTGTTTTTTGACTTTATAAATATTTTTAGCACTTTTTACATTTTTACATATTTTATCACATTTTAGCGTTCACCACATTTTTATCTATTATAACTTGTTTTTAACTTATTTATGCTAATTTAGAGAACTTTTATACACTTGAAAATGACCTCGGAGAGGTCGAAACGTCGTGATTTTTTATCGCTAATATTTATCTCAAAATCGATTTCTAAAAAACTACTTATTAACATGTTGTAATCCTTTGCAAAATTCCACACCAAATCATGACAAAAAGCAGGGTGTACCTAAATTTGTTTTGTTGTTTGTTCAAGCAGGTCAGTTGCAATTGCTGCAATCGGTACACATGTACTGTGAAGTGGTGCTAGCAGAAACTCAAATGCCTGCAGTTAGGCAAATAGATTTAAAAGAAACATTTGTACATTAATTGGCCTTTTAACCTGCTGACTGGTACATTACTTGCAAACAATAGCCAAAGGATTCTAATGAAAAATTTATCACATCAACCAATTTGATCTACCTGCCACCAGAATTCTCAGGACAAATCAACACCATCAGGATTTATACTGTTTACACAGATTTATCTTTTTCTAAAAAACAGTGTCATGAACAGAGAGTGATTGAAGGATTACTGTATTTGCAGAGCTACATGTACATGTACCTGTAAGAATGACCAGTCATAAATATATTTCCTTATCACAAAGCAAATTCAGGAGCATTATCTGGTGCCTCCTGCTCTGAGGAGAAGCCATTCCTCCTTTCTATTGTCATTGAGTAATGACCGGCTTACATGTGACTGTTTTAATTTTGCTTTACTGTTCAGCTTGGCAAAGAGGTTTTTACGGGCTAAGTTGTTGACTCCTCCCTGCTAGAGGCCTCCTGCAAAGCACTTTTCTCGGTTTTGTCATCTCCTTGGTCTGTATTGCCTTGCTCGGAAGACATGTACTCCACATTTATACAAGCTTTGAACTTACAACAATCCTTCTTCGAAATAGAGGTTGACTTGAAAAGGGTTGTCTCTTTAGCTTTTTCTGCAACAAACAGAAATTATACATAATTGAGACCATTAATAATGAAACTAAAGCTGTAGATGGTCGTCATGAAAAATACTATTGTCCTTTTCTGTCTAAATATTCTAGCCTTTTATAGCATAAAGGTTGCTATTAGATATTACATGTATTGTTACTTGCTGCAGTCACACTAGGTGACTTAACTTACTTGTTTCCTGAGTTAACTGATATAAAAATTAACTGGTTTAAACAAATTGCTGGCTCGTAACTTTCATGTCTCAAATCTAACCCCAAGCGGTCATCATAATCCTGATTACACTGTACCTGTTAAAACTAAGACCTTCTTTGAACAAAAACAAAACAAAAAATGAATGCGAGAAACCCTTTTGTAACAAGACAATTGACTCCAGGTAAATCATTGTTAATTTTATAGTGAATAGTCAGTGTCCCACACATCACTACCATAACAACATCATTGAAATATTACTTAAAACATGATGGACCTGCTTCTTCTGCAATATTGCCATCACTTACAGTGTATCTTGGAAACAAAAGTTTAATTATACTATAATTGCCTCATATGAGGGAATCCAAGACAGTTAGATTCTGGATTCCACGCAGCGGATTCCGGAACCTTTTTCAGTGAATTACTTGGTTTCTGGATTCCAATCGTCCGACCTGTATTTCAGGTTTCAAAGCTCAGAATTTGGGATTCCGGGACAAAAATTGCCCGAATTCTGGATTCCATAAGCAAAAATTTCCCGGATTCTAGAATCCCTTACACGGGGTGATCATAAAAAACAATCAGTGAAAGCAGGGTACCATGATCTAAATTCTAGCTACACTATGTTTTCAGCACCATGGCAGTCACTGCCTTTACTCCCCTTTTAAATTTTGGAAAAGCCTTTGGAGAAAGTAGGCACTAGACGATAAGGTTAATTTTGGCCTAATAGAAGGGAATTAAATCTTGCTTCAATTCTTATTAAATTTTCCAAGACCATTTATCTGAAGAGAACAACCAAACAAAAGATTACAGTATTTTTTACAACAACAGGACAAATAAAGTTTCAGGAGTAGGGGTGAGTCCTTGTTGATTACTGAATATTGGGAATGCAAATGTAGGTATTATCAAATAGCATCATTAATGGCTTAACAGTAACAATGAACTTTCTTAAACTCACTGAGCATTTGTTTTACTCGCGATTAGTTGCTACCTCAGCATTTGTTTGTCCTTGCATTTCTCCTTCCTCTTCTTAGTTTTACAATGTCTGCTAACAGCAACGATTCACCGAAGTCTATGTACTAAGTACTAACGGCTGCTTTTCTTGGATCCACTCGTTACTACTTGATCGTCGCCGATGGAGCTATCTAGATGTCTTTCGTGGTGGATAAGTGCAATTTCCTCTATAAGTATATGCAATTCCCTCGAGTTCGAGCGATTATTTTTATAAGTTCTTCGAGGACACATTCGTTCGATGAATTCGAACAAATAAGACTAGCCGATTCCTCCATACTCGACAGTCAACCCCACAAAGAAGGAGAATTCGAAACCTCTTGATAAATATGGCGTTAAACGTTTGAAGTAAAAGCTGATGGCAAATCGATGGCAACCACAACGTGGTAACCGGTGTATGACATTTGCAGACTGCAGACTGCAGACTGCAGACTATAAATTGTCAGCACCTAGACTCACAACAGCCTCCTAAGCTAAATTACGTATATGATTAGTATGAGGGCCGGAGTTTATCGATAAAACATCAAAACTTGCTAAAAATGACGTTTTTTTACATGTCTTTCTGAGGTATGTATCTTAAATGGCAGTTTACGTGAATTTTCAACTTTTTATGAATATTACGATTAATTCCCATAGAAATCCTTATTTCGAGGAGGCTTTTGTGGCTGTGGGTACCCTGTGATATGACTGACACCGAAACACCTTGTTCCCAGGCTTCTAAGAAAGTAAAAGAAAACATGGCGATGGTATGGCTCGTTTCTCTTTTTCTCATCGGGATCCCGAGGTATTGTTTTCTGAAGGAGGCATACTAAGTACGGAAAAGACATTCCTAGTTTTGAGAAAAAAAGAAGAAGAAGCAGTACCGCAGGAAATGAGTAAAAATCTTCACATCGACTTATCGATCGGTAAGAGCGCCTGGTACATTTTGGGCTGTAGAAAGCAGCTCAATTGAACGATTTCAAGCCTATTGTTAAGACGTTTTATCTTAATGTTTTGCAACATGAAGGGGTAATGGGGTTGTTTACGGACTGGTAAGACAGGTGTAGATTACTTAACGTCATGTCTTGGCGAGCTGCTGCTAGCACTTTTCTTTAGCTGTACAGGTCAAATTGTCCTGAATTGTGTCTATATACATCGGCGTATCCAAGTCACAGAAATGTTAAGCTGGTCTGATGTTCCAAGGAATGTAAACTTGAAATGTATCAGTTAACATAAACTTTTTATTCATTAAATGACAAGGAATTGAAAGGTTAGAACTTCAATAACAGGAACGTAACCATTATATATTATTCCAAACTTTGACATGCTGGGGAGGGGGGATAATCCCATAAATTTCGAATAGGTGTGTGCCGCCCAGGTTCTTAACCCTGACACTATTAAATATGAGACGAACATAGATTGATAACCTATTTAAGGCTCAATTCCGAAAATGACACCCTTGTCAAGGGGAAAATTAAAAACTAAATAGTAACAATGGGTAAAAATGTAACCCGATTTGAGCATAAACCATTCCCTACCAAGCGGCACACAACCTATGTATGGGAGTACCTCCCAGACTAGGTGCAAGCTTATTGGAATCCTTTGAACACAAATTGTTTGTTTACATTCACTTTGTCCAGAGGGGGGAAAAGCTCATAAAGGTAAATCCATTGTCCTCTCTCCTTGTGTTTAAAACATTAAAACTGCACATATCATTGTCATGAAATATGTTTGTTAAGTGGTAACACAACGTTAATGTCCTTTCGGTCTTAGATAATGGTGATGTTCAAAGACTGCTTTAAAAAATTCTTGTGGACATCAAGCATCCTTTGGCGATCTTCGGAATTGATGCTTACATGAAGCGATGCTTGGAAGTGGACATTTTTTGCCCCGAGACAAACTGGATTTAGGTGGTAGTGGGTGGCCTCCGGTTTCTTCGTAATTTTTGTTGTTCCTGTTGACTTGTCATACCAAGAACGATACTCTTTAGTTGACACTACCACGTCAAATGGAGGAGGGGGCACACTCGAATCAGAAGGTCGAAGTTTTCCTCCGCAACCATAGCATACTATGCGTCGTCTCGTCCAGCCATTTAAGGTGGTATCGCTGCTCATTTGCGACACTTGCAGTCTCCACGTACGGACGCCTATCTGCGTAGCTGTCATCATTTCTTGATGATGCGATGGCCCCGGTTCCACGAATGCGAGACTTTTGGCCAGGCTTTTTCCCCGCATTCTTGGGTGCGGACGTAGACGCTGCTGCAGTGGTGTTTGGACCACCACGAGAATGACACCAGGAAAGGTACTCGTGCAGTTTGGCAACGTGATCCGCAACAGCAAGTGAATAAGAACAAAGAGAGGCAGTTTTAAAACCTTTACACTGACAAATGCAGACTCCGTTTTTCTTTACCGCCACAAAATAAGGAGTTGCCCCGGTATCACTTGCAACAAGAAAACCTTTATGATCTCCCGGAGCTTCCACGATGTTAGTGCTGCTAAGAAGCAAGCAAGCAGCTTTGTTGTATGATGGTAAGAAAACTGAAGGAATGGAGAGTGAATGTGCTGTTGAAGTCTCCTCTTGCACTTCCCTCGTTTCTTGAAGGGGAGTTTCCCCACCTTCAGGGTCTTGTTGACGTCCTTCCCCACTTTCTTCAAGTCCCAGTTCATTTTGCTGGCTGTAAATGCCTCCTCTTGGCACCGTGGTTACGACTGGAAGGGCTTCATGGAACTCCCTTAAATGCTTTTGCCTTTTCTCTTCCGACCAATCATATGTCCAAGAGTGTTCATGAACCTTAAAATGTTCGAACCCTGGCGCTATTTCAAAGGGTCCGTTACCAATTATGGCATCTTCCACATAACAGAGATTGGCGTTCTTTTCCTTTCGAATGTTTTCAACAACTGTTGGCATTTCCGTGGCCTTGTAGTTTTGCCTTGCCTTAATATTGCGATGCACTGATTCGGGGTCATTATTGTAGTAGAAATCGTATCCTAAACCCATATCTCGCCTAACTGGATAGAGAAGCATCTCTTTCATGTCTTTGGCTTGGTAACGCACAAACCATGAATGGAATTCTGGTCTACTGGTTTGTCTGGCGGCCTTTTCACGCTCGTTCCATACTCGCTCCAATTCTGCCAGGTCTTTTTCAAAGTCAGCCTCGGTGGCTCGGTCAATCAAACCCCCCTCTCGCGTCACTTCGGAGCCAAAGATATCAGCAACAATTTCCTTCCTCTCATTACCATTCACACCAAGATCTGTAAGCTTCCGCTGAATATCATCCTCAAAGTGCTTTTTACAAGCCAGGAAAACGGCACAAGGAAAATGGGGCGTCAGTCCGTTCTTAATCGCTTTGTCTCTGTCACAACCGACACCTAAAATTCGCGCTAGTGATGGCTTAAGTCTTGTCATGGAGCTTGCGAGATAACTGAAGGCTTCCTGATCTCGATGCTTGTGAATAAGTGTAGGCCCAAGTAACACTGGGTGCTTGCCTGTTCTCTTCGACAAGAGCAGCTGATGCCGGTATGTGGTTGGTGTTACGTAGAACTCCCCACAGTTGTAAGTAGTGTCGATGCTCAATATTCCGGGCTTGGATGGATTTGTACAAAATCGTTCCAAGTCTAGTAGCTGATGGTCATCGGAAAGAAACGCAAGTGGCTGAGGCGCTCCTTAGACAAATTGGAGAAATCTATTCAGATGTGTGCTGTCGTCAATACATTTCAGAATCACAGAATAAAGTTCGTCTTTTTGACCGGGTCTTGCAGTGTAGGTACTGCTTTGGTGGTGAATTGACCATTCCTTAATTTTGTGAACCTGATTGACCAAACGCAGTCTACAGAAACTTTACAAGCTGAAAGGCCACCGTAGACATCTCGTGAGCTTTTACCTGACTTCAAGTTCTTCTTGATCGCTTTCAGTGTAGATGGCTGCATGCGGGCTTTCTTGCGGGGACAATTTGTGCTCTGATTCCTCAAATCGATAAGACAAGAGGATGTACTGGTATGGGGTACCATCTGATTTACAAAGACTGTAGATCCTACACTTAAAGTCTTTACAGTTAGCATGCACAAAGTAGGTATGTTGAAGAACATATCTTTTATTCCTCAAGGTCATGTTTGACATTTTCGTGCGGTTATTTCTCCAAGAGAAGTCGACAGACTTGAGGTCTTCACTTGCAGGTATTCCTCGATCAATAAGAAACATAGCGTTCTTTTGGCAAACTGCTGGTCTGTCTTTACAAATTGCAAAACTGGGAGGATTTAACAGATACCACGCAAGCTCCTCAGAAGTAAAGTTGTCTTGAATTGCAAGATACGGTAAGTTTGTTTGCCCTCTAAATCAATTGACGTCCTCTCTCTTGACATCTTGCAATGAGAATGACATCCCCTCTGACTCGGAAGAGCTTTAGGAACGAAAATAGGCAACTTCAATAGCCTGTACATTCATAACTATGAAACAGTGGAACAATTCGATCTGTAAAAATTGCTTTGACTCTCGTTCTATCTTCCTATATGAATTCCTATACCTAACAGCACTTCAATAACGTAATTGAAAAATGGAAAAAAGGTGGGACTCAATAAAATTGTAATTAAGCACGTAATTTACATTGATATGTAGATTGCAAAGAAGTTGTGGACTTGAAGGAATCATTAGATTTAGGGAGAGTTCTACTCAATATCATCAGGGTAAGTTTTCAACAGAAGAAATTTAAGGGGCATGAACATATTTATCACGTGAATGTGCCATGACAATGGCTGAGATGTACTTATTAATTACTTTGTTCGCTTTTTTCTTTTCGATTTTCCTTTGTCAGCTTTAATGCAGTAAGGTGTATTACAGCCAACCTTCTTAAAGCGGCACTGTGAGAAAGAGACCTCTCTAAGAGGACCTCAGGGATCACTATTTCTTGCCAGATTTCGACTGATTGCCTGCAATGAAGTTCTCTATAAGGGATACAGATACAGCTTGTCCGAGTGAGTTCTCAGTAAAAAAAACCAACATAACTGGGCCGATGTTGATGTCCTAAATAAGGCACCTATAACCCCCCAGAGACAGACAGACACACACAAACATCTAAAATATTAAAGCAAAAAACATAAGATGACACGCACCCGTCTTCACTGGAGCTAGGACTTGATACTTAAATGAATTTACTTTGGTTGAGTTAAAGGACAGACTTACTGTCACCGCAGTGTTAAGAAAACAGCATTACAAATTCAGAAAGCTGATAATTATGAGAGACAGGTGATCTCTTACCTTTCCTGGGAGCTCTCATCCTTGCAACTTGTAATTTTACAATCTGAATCACTAACGAAAAAGAGCAAAATACAGAGCTCAGACAGATGACTTAACCACACCCCTGATTCTAATACTAGGGTTCACCATTAAGGTCTACAAATAAGCAAGCCACCGTTTTGCATTACCTTCAGAAAGCTGATAATTATGAGAGACAGGTGATCTCTTACCTTTCCTGGGGGCTCTCATCCTTGTAACTTGTAATTTTACAGTCTGAATCACTAACGAAAAAGAGCAAAATACAGAGCTCAGACAGATGACTTAACCACACCCCTGACCCTAATACTAGGGTTCACCATTAAGGTCTACAAATAAGCAAGCCACCGTTTTGGAACAAGAAAACATTGGCACTGTCTTTAACTTTGATCTTTCCCAAATAGGCTTCCCCTCTCCCAATTCCTTCTGGATATAATGCGACTCAATTCAGTATAACGTGAATAAATTCCCAGGTTATCACACAGATATCCACACAAATACCCGCCCCAATCTATGTCCTTAAATTATAAAGGTACAAGGCACCTGCCCCTATCAACTAGATTGGAAGCCTGCCTGACACATATTCTTAATGAGAGGTTCATATTTCGAGTTAACATCACTCTCTAACAATTCAGGACCCACACCCACACTCCCACTCTTTCATATACATAAAGACTGAAAAATTATGGGCGGGGCCCTTACACTGATTACCCCCTCCCCCCGGAAATCCTTAACTTGTTACGACGTAAAGCCTCCAGTTAACAAGAAATTCGAGTCGAGAACTGGTCAATCGCTCACGCAGTTGCAAAGATTTGATTTACCCGTTTGATTTACCGAACAAGCACAAAAGTATTTTCTTCCTGTAATTTTTTGTCTCTGATCAGTAACATGCTCTCCATGATATTCCACTTATTTGTGAACAAGGTGAATGATATTTGCGCCGGCTTGATTTGCAACACATCAATTCTGGTTGAGTCTGGTGTAGATCAAATTTCTGCATTCTGCGCCCACACAGAAAGCCTGTTCACAGGCCATTTAAAATAGATAAGTGCTCTTTTAGGTAACAAACTTACTTGTTACCTGTTAAACATTCTAAACATTCTTAGCTTTTTGGTTACAATAGGAACAAAAATTATGAACTGTATTTGTAAAGCAAACAGGAGTTTATCAGGAGCGAACATGACACTATATTTAGAAACATGTTGAGAGAATTTGCGATGTCATGACAAATTGGTCGCATTCTCACACTACAAAATTGGCCAAAAGTCCCCTGAAAAGGGAGGGAAAATGAAACATTTTCCATCCTACCATATCCCAATATACCAGATTTCTCAGTGGTAAGTCTATACATAACACTGTACACTTTCGAAAATTCTCAGATGACCGCAAAAGTTTATCAAGGGCTGAGATATTATAAGCTTAATAAATCTCTAAGATTTTGGTTGTCACACTGAATATGCGCATTACTTTTTAAATAACCAGCATCACTTTAAGAATTATACTAAAACTACCCACTAGAGCCTTTACATGATGTTATTTCCTTCACGACATTGGTTCGGTTCGTGTTAACACGAAATGGTTCTGCGGGCGGTGTTCATATTATTAATTGCGCATCGACCGGATAGCGTCTATTACACATGGTTTCTCATTCACAGTATTTAGATTCCTTCCACATCACAAATACAGCCGACGACTTATTTCCCGTATTCCAGGGTTTAGTTCATTTCTGGTATATTCTAACATTCCACAGACATTCCACAGACAAATTGCTCAAACAAATCGCATGTTTATGTTTCAACATTCGCTTCCCGCGCGCCGTACAAACAACGGGTTAGACAATGTTCTTCTGCAATATCCCACCGCATTCCGAACTTTCTTTGCTGAAGAATTACTTAATAGACAAGTATTACTCGGCTACTTGTTATTATCATACAACGATAACCTATTAAGAAGAAGAAGAAAGAATCGC